TCACTTCTCAATTATCATTATGTGGCGAAAAAGTCACTGATGAAGATATGTTAGAGAAAACATTTTCTACTTTTCATGTCTCTAACATGCTCCTGCAGCAGCAATATCGAGAGAAGGGATTTAAAAAATATTCTGAACTTATTGCATGTCTTCTCTTGGCTGAACAAAACAATGAATTGTTGTTGAAAAATCATGAGTCCCGACCAACTGGTGCAAGTCCATTCCCTGAAGCGAATGCGACCTAATTTCAAAATTCTGGTCGAGGTCGTGGATGTGGCCGTAGAGGTGGCCGTGGAGGAGGCCGTGAACGTGGTCGTGGCCGTGGACGTGATCGTAGTAAATTTGTGCCCCGTGAAAATTTTAACCGTGGCAAACAACAAAATGTTTCCCAAAAGAGGGAAAATAACTACAATCAGAAAAATGGAGAAAAGAAAGTTTATGAAAAAAAATGCTACCGGTGTGGTATGGAAGGTCATTGGTCCCGTACCTGTCGTACGGCCGAACATCTTGTTGACCTCTATCAAGCATCATTGAAAAAGAAAGACAAAGGTGTTGAGACAAATTTCATTGATCAAAAGAATGACTATGATGATGGTGATGATGCTGACATGACACACCTCGATGTTGCTGATTTTTTTGAACATCCTGAAGATGTCAACAAATATCCCATGATTATTTAGATATTTTTATGATGCTTTATATCTTTCATGTAATTTCCTTTCCATTGAATATTTATTTTTGCATCTTTATTAATATTTATTTTTGTTTGAAATATTCTTCCTGAAGAAGAAATGGATGTCAAATATTTGGGATTAAATAATGGTGATGATGATATTTGTCTCATTGATAGTGCTACTATGCACACCATATTGAAAAATAAAAAATATTTTTCTTCTTTGAAAATGGGAGAGACAAATGTTAATACCATTAGTGGTAGTGCAAAATTGATTGAAGGCTCCGGAAAAGCCACTATATTTCTCCCTGAAGGGACTAAAATTATTGTAAATAATGCACTATTCTCTCCTAAGTCTCGAAGAAACTTATTGAGTTTTAAAGATATCCGCGAAAATGGATATCATATCGAGACAATGACTGAGACAAATGGTGAATTTTTATTAATCACAAGTATCATTTATGGGAAAAAATGCGAAGTAGAAAAATTACCTTCTTTTTCTTCTGGGTTATATTATGCACAAATTAGTGCAATTGAAATTCATCACCTAGTAGACCAGAAGTCTACTCATCCCGATGATTTTATAATTTGGCATGATCGTCTCGGACATCTTGGATCTATTATGATGAGACGAATAATTGAGAATTCACATGGCCACTCATTGAAAAATAAAAAAGTATAAAAAGCCAATGAATTCTCCTGTGTTGCTTGTTCTCAAGGGAAATTAATTATTAGACCATCACAAGTTAAAGTTGGGACTGAATCCCCTGCATTTCTAGAACGAATTCATGGTGATATATGTGGGCCTATAGATCCACCATGTGGACCATTTCGATATTTTATGGTGCTAATTGATGCATCAACTAGGTAGTCACATGTATGTTTATTATCTACTCGCAACTTGGCATTTGCGAGATTGCTTACTCAAATAATTAAATTGCGAGCACAATTTTCAGATTTTCCAATAAAGAAAACTCGTCTAGATAATGCTGGTGAATATTCGTCACATGCTTTTGACGATTATTGTATGTCCATTGGAATAACTGTTGAACATCCTGTAGCCTATATTCACACACAAAATGGTCTAGCCGAATCACTTATTAAACGGCTATAATTAATTGCTAGACCATTGTTGATGAGGTCTAAGCTTCCTTCATCTGCTTGGGGACATGCTATTTTACATGCAGCAACACTTATGAGAATTAGGCCGACAAATTATCACACTTATTCTCTCCTACAATTAACTTTTGGTTATGAACCAAATATTTCTCATTTACGAATATTTGGTTGTGCGGTGTATGTTCCAATTGCACCGCCCCAACGTCGTAAATTGGGCCCACAAAGAAGATTGGGGATATATGTCGGATATGAATCACCTTCAATCATTAAGTATATGGAACCATTAACAGGTGATTTATTTACTGCGAGATTTGCAGATTGTCATTTTGACGAATCACATTTTCCGACATTAGGGGGAGATAAAAATCAACCGAAAAAGGAAATCACTTGGAAAATATCATTGAATTTCCTTGATTCTCGTACTAAAGAATGTGAATTAGAAGTTCAAAGGATTATACATTTGCAAAAAATTGCAAATCAATTACCGGATGCATTTAGTGACTCCAAAAGAGTTACTAAATCACATATTCCTGCTGAAAATGCTCCGATTAAAATTGATGTCCCTGAAGGACAAATCACAAGTGCTAATGAGTCTAAAGCACGCCTGAAGCGTGGGAGACCTCTTGGTTCCAAAAATAAAAATCCTCGAAAGAAAAGAGGAGTAGATGAATCAACAATTAGTGACAAAATTCAACCTCCTGAAGAGGTCGCTCCTAAAGAGCCAATTCTTGAAGAGAATGAAATTATAGAAAATTCAATAAATTTTGTCACTTCAAGAAAAAATTGGAACCGAAAAGAAATAATTATTGATAATATTTTCGCATATAATATAGCACTTGATATTATGGCAGAGGACGAGGATCATGAGCCTAGATCGGTTGATGAATGTCGAGGTAGAAATGATTGGTCAAAATGGAAAGATGCGATCCAATCTGAATTGGACTCACTGGCTAAAAAAAAAGTTTTTGGACCTGTAATCCAAACACCTGAAGGTGTAAAGCCAATAGGATATAAATGGGTATTTGTGAGAAAAAGAAATGAGAAAAATGAAATTGTGAGATATAAAGCAAGACTTGTAGCCCAAGGATTTTCACAAAGGCCTGGATTTGATTATGATGAAACGTATTCACCTGTAGTGGATGCTATCACATTTAGATATCTTGTGAGTTTTGCAGTACATGAAAAATTAGATATGCGTCTAATGGACGTCGTTACTGCATATTTATATGGGAATCTTGAAAATGATATTTATATGAGAATTCTCGAAGGATTCAACATGCCTGAAGCATGCAAATCAAATCCTAAAAATATTTATTCTATTAAATTACAAAAGTCTCTGTATGGGCTCAAACAATCTGGACGTATGTGGTATAACCGTCTCAATGAATGTCTGACAAAAGAAGGTTATACCAATGATCCAATATGTCCATGTGTTTTTATCAAGAAAAATGGATCAAATTTTGTGATAATTGCGGTATATGTTGATGATCTAAATTTAATTGGAACTCCTGAAGAGATTCAAAATAGTGTTGAATATTTGAAGAAAGAATTTGAGATCAAAGATTTTGGAAAGACAAAATTCTGCCTTGGTTTACAAATTGAGCATTTGAAAGGTGAAATTTTTATCCACCAAACTGCTTATACCCGGAAGGTATTAAAGCGATTTTATATGGACAAAACACATACATTGAGTACCCCAATGGTTGTCAGATCATTAGATCCTAATAAGGATCTTTTTAGACCACGAGAGGAAAATGAAGAGATACTTGGTTCTGAAGTATCATATCTCAGTGCAATTGGTGCACTAATGTATCTTACTAATTGTACAAGACCTGATATATCATTTGCAGTAAATTTATTAGCAAGATTTAGTTCCTCGCCCACAAGACGACATTGGAATGGTATTAAACATATTTTTCGCTATCTCCAAGGAACAATAGATCTTGGTTTATTTTATTCAAATAAATCCAAACCTAAATTGGTTGGTTATGCTGATGATGGGTATTTATCCGACCCGCATAAAGCAAGGTCTCAGACTGGTTATTTATTTACATATGGAGGCACAGCCATTTCTTGGCGATCTACAAAGCAATCACTAGCCGCCATCTCATCGAATCATGCTGAAATAATAACAATTCATGAAGCCAGTCGAGAATGTGTTTGGTTAAGATCAATGACCCACTATATCCGGAAGAATTGTGGGTTATCCTCCGGAAAAGAAAATCCTCCAACTATATTATATGAAGATAATGCAGCTTGTATAGCTCAATTGAAAGGAGGATATATTAAAGGAGATAGGACGAAACATATTTCACCAAAATTCTTTTTTACTCATGATTTGCAAAAGAATGGTGAAATTGATGTGCAACAAATCCGATCAGATAATAATCTGGCCGATTTATTTACCAAGGCATTACCAACTGCGACATTTGAGAAATTGGTGAAGAGTATTGGAATGCAACGATTAAAAGATCTCAAATGATGTTTGCATCAGGGGGAGAAATTATTACAAGAATAGTGTACTCTTTTTCCTTCACTAGGGTTTTTGGTCCCACTGGATTTTTCCCTAGTAAGGTTTTAACGAGACATATTCTTTGTGTAATGGACATTCAAGGGGGAGTGTTATGAAATAACAAGAAATGTGGATGTCTCTTAGTATTCCCAAGGGGATTAATTCATGATTTTATGGCTACATTATGTATAGAAGTTACAATTCATAAATCCATTCATGTAATGGAGAAACCGTTTCATAGGTTTCTTCATATTATTGTAGTAGTGGATGTTTAATAGGATTTATGTACCTTTAATCTTGTAGTACATATATATAGAGGTACATTGAGACCCTTTATGAGGACTTTGGATCTTATTGGAATATAAGAATATTACTCTCCATTTTTCTACTTCTTTCTCCAATATTTCACTTGATATTATAGTAGCTTATTTGATTAGTCTTATAACAACTTGTATAATGAGAAGAAAAGGCGGAATGTAGGTGCTAAAAAGGAAATGTTTGGAATGACAGCTTATTTTGGCAAAGTACAGTTGAGAAACTAGCTGGGTAGCCGTTTATTAAGTAACCATTATATATACCCATAAAGATATCCAATGCCAAAGCATTAGAGAAAGACAATCTTGCTAGGTAATCTACTAGCCACTATATTGACACCCACAAAGATCAAGATCCAAAGCCAAAGCATTAGAAAGGAAGATGGCAGAGGAAGGTAAAGTAGTTCTACACTCTTTTTTTGCAAGCCCTTATGCTAAGAGAGTAGAATTGGCTCTGAAAATCAAAGGCATACCCTTTAAGTATGTGGAAGAAAATTTGGCAAACAAGAGTCCTGAGCTCCTCAAATACAATCCAATTCACAAAAGGTCCCAGTTCTTGTCCACAATGGAAAGCCACTATGCGAATCACTCGTTATTCTAGAATATCTTGATGAAGCCTGGCCAACTGGACCTCAACTCCTGCCTAAGGAGCCATATCTAAGGGCCAAAGTTCATTTTGGGGTTGCTTACATCTCACAGGTATTCATATATTTCATTGGTTTCCTCTTGTCTGGTAGAAATGTGCATCATTATCTTGTGCTAGTGCAGACTTTACAGACCGTTTCCAAACTCTACGAGCCCAACAACGAAGGACAGGAGAAAATCGTTGAAGAAGTGCATGAGAAGCTGAAAATTTTGGAAGATGGTGTCAAGAAATTCTACTTCCCAGAGGGAAGTCCCGTCCACATTGATGCTGAAAAGCTGGGGATCCTAGACATCATGGTTTTCGCAACCTTTGGTGGCTACAAGGCACAGGAACAGGTTCTTGGTGTGAAGATTATCGATGCTGAGCAGACTCCACTCATCTTCTCATGGCTTCAAGCTCCGAATGAGGTGTCTGTGATCAAGGAATCTGCAGTTCCTCATGATCACCTGGTTGGTCTTCGACAGTTTCTGACACAATCAGCTGGCAGCCAGTGACTGCTTTAAGTCGTTTGATTTGAGAACTTCCTGCAGTTTGAGTTCATTTTGTTATGCATGTTTGTCGAGGCCACAACCTTTTGTTCTTCTGTTTCCATCTAATAAAACCATGGTTGATTTTTGTTTGCAATTTAATGTTCTAACTTCTAAGATCACATAATCCAGTCATCTCATAAACCAAGAAAGTTTCCTTTCCATTCCATAAGACAAATCGATGCTTAACAAACTGTTACAATTAAATTCTCAATGCTTAACTAAATTCTCCAAGGTCAATGTTTAATTAACAAGCTGAACCTCATATTGGAAAAACTATCAATGCTTACGACAGATATTGAACAGAGCAATCAATTATTAATGGTGGAAAACTGGAAATTGGAAGAGAGAGAAAGAAAAGAAGACGATCTCTGACCAAAATAATAATAATAATAATAATGCATCAGAAAAGAAAACTCAGACTTATAGTATACTCCATAAATAGGGTAAAAAACAAAAAAGCCTCATGTGGTTAACCTAATTCACAGAAAAATCCCTCATAGTTTTAAAATATACAACACGACCCCTCATACTTTGAACTAAATTGTAAAGGTGACGGAATCCGTTAAACTTAACGGAAATGGACGAAATGACCAAAATGCACTGATATAATTAAGCAAAAGACAGCTCAAAAAAATCATTAATTTTATTCTCTAAGTAGAGCGAATTAAGGGTTAAGGGGTAGAATAGGTATATTTGATAAAAATTAGGCATAAAATTTTTTTTTTAGGTTTCAATAAGTTATTTCCGTTAAGTTTAACGGATTCTGTCACCTTTATAATTTAGTTCAAAGTATGAGGTGTCGTATTGTATATTTTGAAACCATAGGGAACTTTTCTGTGTATTAGGCTTACCACAGGGCTTTTTTTTTGTTTTTTACCCTCATAAATATGTTCCTTGTGCAACAGAGCATAGTAAATTTAAAAATTAATTATTTTGATGCATGCATAAAAATTATATGTGATTATTTAATGACAATTATATATTGCCTAATAGTGGGAGGGAGAGAGAGAAAGAAAGAAGAAATAAAAGCAAAATGTGTATGAAATTGAGTATAAAATTCTTTGAGGGGTCAAAATGTAATTAAAGTCGGTTGATGCAGGTAATTCATCCAACCGTTATCTTTGATTGTTAACTAGTTTTTTCAGCCTCACGCAATGCGTGAGGATGCCCTGGGTCTATGTTAATCAAAATCAAATGAAGGCAAGTGGATTAATGTAAAATGGTTATATATTTAATACATGATAGGTGTTAATAAATGTAGAGAATTTGACTTTAGATAAATTGAATATTGCTGTTACTCGTTTACTCATTTGATTTGTAATTTTCTCTTAGATAGTCAGTCTTTGACTTAAGATCTTTGCGAATTCTTGATATTATAAATAAATGATGCATTCATTTAAAATGTACAAGTACATACATATATCATAAATATGGTGACGCTGATCACTTTTAAAATTATGCATACACTATTTGTATCTAATCAAGAATGAAATAAGTTTAAACAAGATCAGTTAGGTGAGAATGCGAAAAATTCACCTTGTAAAACCGCCAAATCCAGGTCTTCAATTGGAGAAAGAAACACATCCAATATGTTGCTTTTCAGATGGCTTTCTCTCAAGATTACATAGACAATACAGCTTTGTGCGACTCCCACAGACCGCTTCGGACACCACCCACCACCCACTCACCAGGGGAGCTCAAGCAACTACAACTATACGATGAAGATACAAATACACGTCTGAACTCTGAAGCACAAACACAAAAGCCACTAAAGTTGACCAAGCACACAACTGAAACACGAATGCAAAAGTCACCGAAGTTGCCCATAATTTAGGCGGTGGATCTATTTTACAAATGGGGTAACAAACTCGTGTTTAAAATCCAAAAATATGTATTTATAGAATTGTTTTTTCATGCTCGAAAGAAAAATTGGAACTACTATAAAAGTTTAAAAATTATAATCCATTTCTTAAATTGCATATTTTTTTATGAAGAAAGTTTATCCTTTTGCAAAAAAAAAAAAAAAAGAGTTTACACAGCCACGGGATACCTTCATATTTTTAGTGACAAACTCGTGTTTAAAATCCGAAAATATGTATTTATAGAATCATTTTTTCATGCTCGAAAGAAAAATTGGGACTACTGTAAAAGTTTAAAAACTATAATCCATTTCTTAAATTGCATATTTTTTTTAAGAAGAAAGTTTATCCTTTTGCAAAAAAAAAAAGAAAAAATGCTTACATGGCCACGGGATTCCTTCATATTTTTTTTAATTTTTTTTCCAAAACAGGAGGACCCTCTTGTTTATATTGACAGTATACATTTTCACATTTTAATGCATATTATTTAATCCAAATTTGAATTCTAATATCAACTTTTGTATATATGACATGTATCCAAAAATGATAGTGAGTGTGTTTGGATTGAAATGATTTGAAAAAAATAATTTGCTTCACAAATTCCAATCACCTTTTTATCTTCCAAATCACATTTTTATCTCACATATATCACATCATAAAATATGCTACAGTAATTATATCAAATAAACTCCTACCCAAATAAACTCAGTGTATACTGTATATTCTGAAACTCTTGGTTGAAATGTAAGATAATTAAAGAATATTTCGTAAAGTTACATATGCAAAACAGTGGAAATGTAAGATGCTGCTTTCAACGTGAATCAAACACAAAGATGCCAAGTTTCATCGTTCTATTGCAGCAAGAAAAGTTTGCTTGCATGATATTGCACTATTAATGCCTTACACGAAGAGAACTAAAGAGGATAATAATGGATATGTCATATTATATCTAAAAGTTGAAGCACTCAAAATTGGTCCAACTTCCACCATACATACACCCAAACCCTAAGAAAACAAATCGAATGTTCCAATTTCCAGGTTTCAATTTTTATAGCAAGCCTAATTAAGAATATAAACAAAAATTAAAACTTTGAATGAAGAAAATACGAATAAAAGTATCTAAAGCTAAAGGTTGGGTAGTACATTACTTTTCTGAAATTTCTTATCAAGAATTAGTTCAAACATGTTCAATAATTCTTTTCTCGTTATACATAATAGTGATTAAGGCACACTCAGATGTGTGTATAACTAATTAGAATAAAAATATTTGTAATGATTAGGGGTGGGCAAAATTATCCGCTAACCCGAAAACCAGTCATATTTGATCCGATCCGATCCGAAAATTAGGGTATCCGATTTTTATTATTTGATTTCTTATCAAGAATTAGTTCAAACATGTTCAATAATTCTTTTCTCGTTATACATAATAGTGATTAAGGCACACTCAGATGTGTGTATAACTAATTAGAATAAAAATATTTGTAATGATTAGGGGTGGGCAAAATTATCCGCTAACCCGAAAACCAGTCATATTCGATCCGATCCGATCCGAAAATTAGGGTATCCGATTTTTATTATTTGATCTGGTCAAAAGAGGGTCGGGTATCCGCTAAGATGCGGGGCGGGTTAAGGTCACATAATTAAAACCCGCGGGTACCCGATCCGCCCCGCATATATATATTTATTTATTTTTATTTTTATTTTTATACACACACTATAAAATAATAAGTTAGAACTAAATAAGTAATTTTATTGAACAAATTGCATTACAAATATGAGAGACTATAGTTTATTTATAAAATTCATTTGTAAAGGCCATGATCTTATACTTTATAGAAAAAAATTTAATTAATGTGGAACATATATATTAAAAATTGTGCTACTTATTTCAAATTTTTATTGATTTTGAATTCTTTTAATTTTTTTCCTTTATCTTATATTCTCTTCATATGCTTGTTTCTTGGTGGGAAACCTTTTTTTAGAAAAAAAAAATATTAAATCTTAGATGAATGTGTAAAATATAAAATTAAATTAGTATAAATCATTTTTTAAAAAAAATTAAATGATAAACGGGGCGGGGCGGGTACCCGCTAATCCGACCCTATCTCAGTGGGTACCCGTTATAGAATACCCGCTGATATGCGGGGCGGGTAAGGGTCAGAAAATGGCCGACCCGCAAGGTGCGGGTCGAGTCAGGCAAATGGTGAATGGGGCGGGTACCCGACCCGCGCCCACCCCTAGTAATGATAATTCTCTTATAAAAGTGAAGTATTATAGGGGAAACAAGTGCATGGGCTTAATTTCGGTGATGTTAATAAAGAAAAATTAAAGAAATGTGTGTCAAATATAATAGATAAACATGGAGAAATTGAACGTAAAAATACGGGAAGATTCGAAGTTATAGTTAAATTGTTGTTTTATTATTTTGTTAGAGAATAAATCCATTTTATCCTTTATAATAAAGGCAAAAAAAAAAAAAGAAGAAGAAGAAGAAAGAACTAACAATACAACACCGTAAAGGGCATCAAGCTTTATATATGGCACATGTATGCTTCCTAAAAAATGCCACTGGAGGGAGAGGGGAAAGAATTCTAGCGTCTGAACTCTGGAGCAAGAGGGCAAGCCCAAACAAATTCCTATGAAATGCCATTGGAATTGTCAAAATTTACAGCATAACCAGTCTATTTGCCTATGAAAAAGCCATCGAAGTTGCTCAAAATTACCGGATAACCGGTCCATGAGCACTGTAGCAACTCCAACTCGCGCTTTTAGTATAGTAAAGATTAAAATTTCTTTCAAAAGTGTTTCTCATATTATAACCACTTATGGATGCTGGCAATTAATACATACATTAATGCGTATATCGCTTTGGATATTAATGTATGTTCATCTATAGAAGATGACGTTCACTACTTGTTGCGGTGGAATTTATTATTTATACCATGTCGATTTCAGATCCTATTAGTCAAAAATAGTGGGCATGAGAACTGTAAACTAATCTGTGTGCATTAAATTCAAGTAAAAATTGGCCCCACAAAAGAAGAAAAAATAACAATAATAAAAAAAAAGTCAATCAACAATAAAAAAAAAGCCTTTGCTCGTATTCGTACATCTTTTGAAAAGGAATACAATCATATATCGTTTCGGAAAAAAAAAAAAAAACAAAGTGAATTGAATGCGTCACCAATTGACTGTACATTTGCCTGTTAACATTAATCATTGTTTTGAAATCTCAAATGCAAATTGGAAGAAGAAAATTTTGGAAAATGACCAGCTCCAAAAAGATTACGGAAGGAATCTACTTTAAGATGACTGCAGCAAAGCAAATTTATTGAACCTAAGATTTTATATCCCAAATAGAACCAGTTCGTTCGCAGAGTCTATCAAGTACACTGATTAATCAGCACCGCCCAATGTGAGAATTATTCCACAATTTACAGCTTAAAAGGGCTGCAGCATTTGCTGTAGGATAGGATCTTCCTTGGTGAACATCCAAACTTGCTGTATTTATTGTCACACCACAAGAATGGTTGAGATTTGCTTCTAGTGTATCAATGGTTAATAAAGACTCAATTTTGGGGCAGCTCAGCCGCAAAATTTGATTTTAGCGTTGATAAGATTTTCCTTGCAGCTTCCTTTGGGCTCTGGCCGCTGTCACCAACATTGTGGAGCTCAGCTCAACTTCATGATGTCACCAACTACCAATGCAAAATATAGAAACTCCATATAAAAGCGTTCGATTCTATTCTACCCTCTCCAGAGACAAGAACCTTGACCGTATCATTAATTACTCTCTTCTTCTTACTTTCTGATTTTTTTTTGATAAGTAAATACTAAACATCATCAATTTCGTAGCCGCATTTCCAGCAATGAGCACAGATAATTTACCTTCTGATATTCTGGAACCCGAATCCCAGTCCTCTGCCGAGGAAACAAATTTGCAGCACAAAAGCACATCTCCATGCACTCATCCGGGGCAGCTTGACTGGGCAGTATTAGTACTTGGGTTTTGCTTGACATCAGCAACTGAAATCGCTTAGCGGCAAACTCACCGGCCACAAGAAAGCCACGCAGACAGCATCGAAGTTCCAAAGCCATGCAGACATCTGATAGCAACAAACTCACCGCCCAGAACAAAGCCATGCGGATAGCAGGAAATTTCCAGCAAACCCACCACCACTGAATGGCAAAAGACCAAACTGCCCCTCAAGCTCACACAAATCACGCTATTTTCACTGTAGCTAAGCCAACTGACGCTTTTAGTATAGTAAAGATTCAAGATTTAAATACAATTACTTTCCTTAAGGTTTAGCCAAATAACCGATTTGACCATAAGGTTTAGCCAAATAACAGATGCCTCCCTATAAATAACTTTCATTGAATATATCATTGGGAACTAGTGAAAAGACCAAAAGTAAACAAACAAAACTACATAGTTTCAATAAATCAACGTCTTTCTCTTTTGGTATAGGTCAAGGAGTGGCTTGATAATCTTTTATGCATGCAAAGGATGGGATTAAGTTATTTGGCCAAACTTTGAGATTTATTTGGTAGTTTGGCTTAATCTCAGGGAAGGAAACTGTGATTAATTCTTAATTCAAAGGGCAAAATGTATAAGAAATAGCATTGGGGGGCAAAGTGCAAATTATACTCAATGCTAAGGGGCTTACTGCCATTAACTCATTTTAAAATGGGCCCATTGCGGGAGCCTCAATTGCGGTAAAGGGAAATTAAAAGCTACCTGTGAACGCTAAGAATTGCTGAGCCTTCAAGCGTTGACATGAAAAATAAAAAATCCATTTTTATCATGACTTAGAATTTTTAGTTTTTTATTACTTGCTATTCAGCCCTTGCAGAAAAAGTAAACTGGACTTTTCCATGGATTTGATATCTTGCCCTTTTGAATTTCATCCAAGGTTTTCCTATGGAAGATTCGGTTAATTGCCTCTAATTTATTTGTAATGTAGAACCCAAAATTTACATAAAATTCCCATAAATTTCTTTTTGTTCATAATTTAGACTTTTGGTTCAATTTTGCATTTTCAATTCTCTGTCCAATTATAGAATGCTAAAATCCTGCCATCATACCAACATATTATTGAAACTCACGGATTAATACGAATAAAATGTTCAAGACAATCAGACTGATAAACAATAACCACTAATTGCATCATGGAAATTATATACGCTATAGGTAACAATTGAGAAAGATTAAAATAACGGTATAGAAATTTAGATTCATAAATTGTAGCTTCTGCTCCTCCATATGCGAGTACATACACATGAAAAGAGTCTTTTCAATATATATATATATATATATATATATATTTATATATGAAATGAGTAGATTACAGCTCAGATTCAGAACACGTAGAACTAATGACGAAATAATAGAAGTAATGGAAGATATACTCATGTAGTATTAGATAATGTAAAAAGAAAAAAGAAAAAAAATTTGTCTACATTCCAGGTTTTAGATAAAAAGATACATCATCTTATATGCTAAAATCTATTTATTTTTCTATGCCCCTAAAGTATGAAATCCATCCCGTGATATTGTCAGAACTAAAGGAAAATATCAGGGACCAAAAGTTCAAATTTAGTTGTCTTTGTGTCTAAAATCAGAAACTTTAGGGACCAGACTTGCATTAGACGAAATATTAGGGACCAACGTAGCACGTAGGTCAAACATTGAGGGCTGCTTTAGTCTATAATGGCCTGTGCACATTAAACAATCTATTAATCCTGTTTCTCTAGTCTTTCTTTTTCATTATTTAAAGTAAGAAATAGAAGAGTTAAGATTGCTTTCGTATGAATCTACTGTACCGGGAACGACTTTATATAAACATAACAACAATAGCCAGATTCAAAAGCCATAGGACAATTAGGAGAAGAGAAAGAACGATGGGAGAGGAAAACAAAGTGATTCTGCTTGGAAATTGGTCAAGCCCTTTTGTTAAGAGAGTGGAATTGGCTCTCAAAACCAAAGGCATTCGGTTTGAGTATGTGGAAGAGGATTTGAGCAACAAGAGTGCTCTGCTCCTCAAGTATAATCCAGTACACAAGAAGGTTCCTGTTCTTGTCCATAATGGAAAGCCAGTATGTGAATCTCTAGTTATTCTTGAATATATTGATGAAACCTGGCAAAATGGACCTCACCTCCTGCCTAAGGATCCTTATGAAAGAGCCAGAGTTCGCTTTTGGGTAGCTTATATCCATCAGGTATTCATCTTATTTTACTTTTTTCCTGTATATTTTTCTAATTTGCATTATCATGTTGTCATTCCGCAAGCAAGATCTGGGCCAGCCATTGGCTCACAGTTGGTACAGTTAGTTCCTCTCGTATAGTCGTATACGCTTAAGTGAAAACTTGGTCTGTGATTATACAACTTGTGAGATGGTGTAAATTTGTAAATGGTGAGTTATCTAGGGAACCTTGAAACTATTTCAATTGTTAGCTTTTGATCATTCATCCATTTTAAGTCTCAAATTGATTCTCAATAATGAAAAGCGTCAAAGTTTGATTATTCAGTCGATTTCAGTTGTTAGATACGTCAGATTTACCCTTATTATACCATTAGCTTTATTGGTGAAGATGGACGGAAGGATCAAAATTTGATATTTGTCATTGTTGAGAGGTCAATTTGAGACTTTGAAATAGATGAGGGGTCAATTTGAAATTTAAAATAGATGAAGGGTCAATTTGAGATTTGAAATAGATGAGGAGTTAAAAGTGGACCATTAAAATAATTTAGAGAGTCCCTAAGTAGTTTATCCATACATAAATAAGACTTAGGGGGAAAATATAGTTTTGATCCCAAATGTTTGGCTCATGTGCTAAATTGGGCCCTAATGTTCAAACAAAATAAATTTGGTCCTCAAAAATTTTTTATTTTATACAAATTTAAGATAATTAATGAATAGTCAGCAATTCTAATGACCAATATCAATTTAATGTTAGTCAATGATTTTGACATTTTATTTTTGGTCCCATCATTTGGAGTTTGAATCATTATTATGCTTTGATTGCTTTCACAAGTTTCAATAATGATATTAAGGGTTTGACAATGAAATGAGATACAAACTAAATCAAAATTACTTTATATGTGTACTAGGTATTCTAATTAAATTTCTTTTTCTTCTTTTGTTTGTTTCATTTATTCATGTCACTATTTTTTCATGTCTTTCTTCTCCTTTGCATTTAAAATTGGTCTTAAAATTGGACATATTTTATGTAGTTATTATTGTGCACTATGACTAATTAATTGATCATGAGTTTAATCATTTTTTAATTTATATTGATGATTAAACATCAAATTAAATATCCTTAAAAATATAAGCAATATACAATGTGTAAATTAAGTTGATAATCTAATAAACTTCTTTTCTTTCTTTTTTCCTTTTTTAATTTCAAATAAGTTTCGAATGAAATAGGTGTCTTACAGGATCATTTGGATTATTCAATAAAATTACAATGTAGGCAAACATTAGAATACTTACTTTAGAACATTATGAATGGAACATTAAGTTCTAATTGGAAGGAAAGACAAGAAAATAGAAAAGCAATTTTTTCTCAAAAATCCCTAAAGTCATTTCATTCTGATACTTATGTTTACTAGTTATTGTAAGCACAATTTCTAACCACAACCATTTGCAACCTATATCCACAAGTATTGCAATAATTTGTACAATAGTAATTACAGTAAAATTAATATATATTTAAAATTATAATTATCCTCTTTTTTCACTAATTTTTATCTTATACACTATCTATGTTATACTTAACTTCAAATAATTTGACAAATAGTTACTCTTTAGGCTCAAGAATGGTGTTGTGCCGCTATGAAGTGCTCTTAAGATTTTTTTTTTTTAATAAGGATTTGGAAACACATTTGTCAAATATTTAGTTTCAATTCACCTTTATTTCATCTTAAAACCATAAATATTCTTATTTGAAACCCAAGGGACCATATTGACGGAAACTCCAAATATTAGTGGAAAAAATGCAAAGTCAAAATTTTTTACTAAAGTCAAATTAGTGTTAGTTATTGTGCTTTTCCATTAGTTGTCATAAATTTGTATAGAATCAAAAACTTTGGAACCAAATTTGTTTCAATTAAAACATTAAAGACCAATTTATCATATCAGCCAAATATTGGAGACCAAAACTGAGGTATGATGACACTGTTTGATTGTACACCATATTTTATGAGAAGTACACTAATGCCAACCGCAAGTATCGTAATTAAGTAACGTTTGTGGAAAAAAAAAAGTATCGTAATTAAGTTGCCTGAACTCCATCCTGACTATAATCTACCCTCACTCCTATGTTTAGAAAACAAGAAAAGTACATCCTTAACTTGTGTTGGTGCAGCTGTTAGACAGCATGGCCAAACTCTACACACCTGACAAGGAGGCACAAGAGAAAGCCCTTAAAGAAGTGCATGAGAAGCTGAGAGTTTTGGAAGATGGCATGAAGGAAAACTTTCCAGGGGGAAGTCCTGATGTCCGTGCCAAAAAGCTGGAAATCCTAGATATCATGATGATTGCAACTGTTGGTTCCTTCAAGACACACGAAGAGGCTCTCGGTGTACAGATTTTGGATCCGGAGAGGAATCCACTCACATTTTCGCGGGTGCAAGCTCTCAATGAGCTGCCTGTAGTGAAGGAAAGTAACCCTCCATATGAAAAGTTGATTGCTCTTCTTCAGTCCCTGAAAGAAAGTGGCATGAAATTCTACAATTGATTGTGGTTACGTAGCAGTTAGTTTGTGAATTAACTTTATGCAAGTTAATCGAGACTACTGCCCTCTCCTTGTAAGTTGAAACAAGTAAGGCTTACTCATAAGTCATCTGAATAAAGAATGTGCATATTTATATGCTTAGCGATCGACTGATCACCCACGAGAACTGACTCTTAAATTTATTACGCAATCAATCCTTAACAAACTTTTCGAAGTTGGACCACAAAAAGATACAAGTAGCTAGTAATAGAAACCTATTGACTGAGGCATATGCCATAGATTGAGCATAATTGAGGTTTAGCTGATTTCTTGAAATTAACGTGTTTGGATTGCATTTTTCTAGATTTTTTGTAAAAAAATTACTGTAGCAATTTAATATATGTGAAATAAAAAGTTGATAGAAAAATGTGTTCACAAAAAACGTGCCAGTTTTTCGACGGAAAATGGCTGTCCAAATCTACTGTGTTTTGAGCTTGAACTTGAGGTTTAGTTACCTAGACTGAATTGTTTCTTGAACTTGAAAGTAGCTGAAAGCATGGTAACAGTGGATCCTTACCCAGGAAAGCTACTAATTTTCTTCCAGCTATATGGAAATGGCAGCTTTCTTGTAGACTCTGATTTTGATATCAAATGTACTAATGAAAGTGCGTCATACTAACGTAGGTATAGCTGTGTACCTCACTCCACCTTTAGCTTTCTCTATGAATTAAAGAAATGGAAAATAGTCGAAAGTTGAATTAATTGAGCTCCAGCTAAGAATAAGAATAAATTATCTTGACTTTAGGAAATTAAGCAAGTCTGTGACTCATCAAAATTAATTTTGTATCCAATAGGAATTAGGTATTCAAAAAATTGTAGTAAAAAAACTGTACATCAAGCGTCATCTTTTAACTACTATGTACAAAGCTCAACTATTTTATTGATACTGTGTAGACAACAATCAATTTGATAAACCAAAATGTGGAAAGCAATTAATTCGTCTGTGACAATGAAGTCAGAAACTAAAATGAGCAAACTTTGTTAAGCTTTTCAAGTCAATTACAACGATTGACTGAAGATTGATTCTGCCAAACACTAGTTTGTCACAGATTTTTAATAAAATAAATGTGTATAAGTCAATCTGTATTTATCCTCTTTCCCAAGAAAACCATCTCTCTCTCTCTCTCTCTCTCTCTCTCTCTCTCTCTCTGAGCAAGACAAATAAAAAAACCATCTTGAGCACCAAGAAATCTAAAATCAAGTTTAATAAGGTGATCAATATGGACATATTATCAAACTATACACGAAAAATTTTTAAATTCTCTAGTCCATAATTCCATGTCTTTTTATTGTATTAATGACATGTATGTTTGACCAACTGCATGAGTCCTCTTGGGCAACAAGAAACTAGGAAAAATGTACACTGCCCGGTTTTTCTAAATTAACTTGCTCTGCAATACAGTTCACCAGTATAAATACATATCTAATGAATCAAAATATCTGATCCCAGAGCATCAGGAAAAAAATATGGGAGAGGAAGACACGGTGATTCTCCATGGAATGTGGGCTAGCACTTATGTGAAAAGAGTGGAATTGGCTCTGAAAATCAAAGGCATACCCTTTGAGTATGTGGAGGAAGATTTGAGCAACAAGAGTGCTTTGCTCCTAAAATACAATCCAGTTCAAAGGAAAGTTCCTGTTCTTGTCCACAATGGAAAACCAATATGTGAATCCCTCGTTATTCTTGAATATATTGATGAAACTTGGCCAAGTCATGGACTTCAACTCTTGCCCAAGGATCCATATGAAAGAGCCAGAGTTCGTTTCTGGGCTGCCTATATCCAACAGGTATCATCTTTCCTCTCTCTGCGATCGATCTTCCTTATAAATTTAGCCTTCCTGATTCTTTTGCTAAACTATCAAACAGCTGCAATTGTTCTTGCCCCACATGATATCAACCAATCCCCCTAATTGAAATGTTTTAAAGAAGAAACGTGACACATGAATGTGTGTTTGTGCAGCTGCTGGAGAGCATGGCGAAACTATTCAATCCTGATCACAAGGAAGCACAAGAGAAAGCCCTTGAAGAAATGTACGAGAAACAAAGGATATTGGAAGAGGGAATGAGAGAATTCTTTCCAGAGGAAAGTCCTAATGTTCACCCTGAAAAGTTGGGCATTCTAGATATCATGATTGTTTCAACACTTGGAGCCTTCAGGGCACAAGAGGAGGCTCTTGGCGTAAAGACTCTTGACCCTGAAAAGAATCCACTCTTATTCTCATGGGTGGAAGCTCTGATTCAGCTGCCTGTGGTGAAGGAAATTATCCCACCTTTTGAGAAGTTGGTTTCTCTTCTTCAGTTTATCAAACAAAATGGCATCAAATTCTGATCCAGTTGAGTGCTTTGACGCTTGGAGTTAATGGTTACTTGCTCTTGCTGTAGTACAATGAAAATGTCAGCAATTTTAAGTTTGTACTTCACTTGGTTTTGTATGTTAACTGGGGTTGTAATTGCCTTTTGCTTGCCATAAATAAGGCTTATAAGTCATGTACAATCCAGAAAGTCCTTAATAAACACTTTTAATTACTCCAGTGTCATGCTTTTCTTTTGGTCTATTCCAAAACTATTGTCACTTACCTAAAATAGTAAGCAAAATTTTCATATATTTCCATTGAATACCCTCACATAATCACAATTTCCTATAAAGTCCCCTCAAACTACTTCAACTGAGTTATCTCGTGCGTGAGACGTATGCTAGAGTGAAGCTGTGTTTTTAAACTCGGATAGGACCGGCCGGTTGAATCGGGAACCGGCCAAGTGTCCAGCCCGAGTTACTCTAAAAAATCGGGAGCATAAAAACTCGGTCAAATCCGGTTAAAACTAGGGTTTGACCGGCAAATCGGATGAACCGGTTTGATGTGAAGTTTTTTTTTTTTTTGGAAAAGGTCAAAGCATTTTCAATATTATGTTTTGGCCCCTAAGTTGTTAAAAATTATTAATATATCTCAAATATTTCATACTTTACAAATGTTGTCCTAAAGTTTGGTGTTATTTTTCAATCAAATCCATAATTTTATTTCTAAACTTGTTAATGTTCATTTAATAATATAAATTGCTACTTGATCATTCTAATTCTTTGTATTTTCTTATTAAATATATTTGAAACATCAAATATATATGAATATACATTTATTAATATTAACATGCTCTTAAGTGTGTTACATACAATATTTTAATTTTTAAATAATTTTTATTTGTGACGTCATACGGTTTAACCCCGATCGAACCTATTGACCCCTGAGCTCTACCGAATCGATGTCCGGTCCGAGTCTGAAAACATAAGAGTGAAGTAGTAGCGTGATGTTCAAACGACAACAAAATTTTGATCATTTCAAGTGGTGGATCCCACAAGCATTATAGGGTGTTAGTACTCAAACTTAACTCGAACTAGAAAACAAGGGCAAAGAGGGAAATTCAAACATATAGCTGTCAGTTTTGAACACTATTCGTATTAAGTTGTTTTCTCGAAAAGTGACCAAATTTTTGGGATTGCAGGAGTAATAATTATGTAATTCAATTATATTCAGAGAAATTTTTCAGCCAATTTATCCCTGTTTATGGATTAACGGACATGTGCAAAAGTTCTATTTGTCTCTGCCATTCTATGTATCTCTTCCTTTTTGCTTAGGGCATCCTCGCTCCCTATGAAAAGTGCAAATTATTTCAAATGATAATAAAAAGGAAATTAACAAGCTAGGATGTAAAGTAAATGTACAACATTTCCAACTTAGACCTTCTAAGATTGGTGTTAGGACTAAAATGTTAAAACAAAAAACTTTAAGCACTAAAAAGTTCATAATTATACTTAAAAGAAAAGTTAATCGATTGGGAGTTTTGTAATAATAGCTGAAGGGTTTCTTTAGCAAATTCATGTTAACGAAGAGTATTTTGTTAGTTAGAAACTATATTGTGATTATTTTATTGCCTTTAAAGAATATGAAAGGACAATTGACAAACTGGAAAGGATGATAATTTTTCTTTTTGCAGGATAAGAATGTAATTTTAGTTACTTTAGAAATTAAATAAACATTTCCTTTCATTCCATAGCTCTTGGATTCATCTTTGTCTCCAACTTCAAATTTAAGTTATTATTTAGAATAAAATTATAACTACATCAATAGTCTTGGAATAGACTGGAGTATGGTTAGTGATTTTGAGACAGATGTAGGTAGATGATCCTTTTCAATAAAATGAAGATCTTCATAGAGTTTTCACATTAGCACTTTGTAGTTAGCTTTTTATTTTTCTTTTTAGCTCTTTGAAAGTTTTTCCTCTTGAACTAAAAAAATCCCTAATGATCCTATAGGTTAAAAAACACAATTGAAGTATGAAACAAACCAGCTTAAAATAATAATCCTCATGTCTACACCTTTTACTTCATGCATGGTTAGCTACAACTAAATTTTGAACCAAAACTTCTTTTTCATGTGGTTTAACTGGATATATTATATCTTTATTTCGAGTAATTAAAGCTATCAGCATATCGCAATTATCACCAACCAGTTGTACATAAGGTAATTTAACATATGAAGATGTTAAAAGAAACTCTCCAGAGTTTTAAAGTAAAAGAAAAGAAAGAGTTTATGAGCCAAGAAATGTAAGAGGGGAAAAGAAAATACCCCAAATAACGGAAGAACTGTCAAGAATGGGATTCGAACCCATGCCCTTTCGGACCAGTACCTGAAACTGGCGCCTTAGACCAACTCGGCCATCTTGACATCCATGTCAAAGCTTTGTTCAGAATATATATGAACGTATTCACTGGTGAAACATTTTAATTTTTAACCCAATCATTTGGTTCCGCGCTATTCAAATTTCAAACCAATGCCAAATAATTTCTTTCTCAATTTTTTCTGTCTTCACATGAACCCAAATGAATTTCCACATTCCTCGGCGTTTTGAACCCAAAATCTCAGCTTTAGGCCGCAGATTTGTCTCATCCCTTCCAGTACGTGAAAACCCATCAATTTTTTGCGACCAAAATGTTAATAATGTCACCAAACCGAACCCTTTTCACATCCTTAAGGACCCCAACAAGCCAAGAAAAGTCAAGCTTAAAGATACTAAAATCGTTCACGCAAATTTACTGAGAACCCATGATCTTTACTTGGATATGTTTCGAACAAATTATTTGCTTGATTTTTACTTTGAATGTGGTAGTACAAAATATGCATTTAACTTATTTGATGAAATTCCTGACCCAAATTCTGTTTCTTGGAATTTGATGTTGTCTGGTTGTAACAAAAATATGTTGTTTGAGGACTCATGGAGGTCTTTTTGTGAGATGCATCGGTTTGGTTTGGAAATGGGGGAGTATACTTATGGGAGTGTGTTTTCTGCGTGTGGAGCTTTGGGATGCGTGCTGCGGGGAGAGCAAATTTATGGGCTTTCGATAAAAAAGGGATTTCTTTCGAATGGGTATGTCAGGGTTGGAATGATGGGTCTGTTTTCGGAGAGTGGTAGGTTTGACAATGCTTTGAGGGTATTTTATGATGTTCCTTGTGACAATGTGGCTTGTTGGAACGCTATTATTTCCGGAGCCGTGAAAAATATGGAGTATTGGGTTGCTTTGGATATTTTTAGTAACATGTGCCATCGGCTAATCATGCCTAATGAATTTACTATTTCAAGTGTTGTAACTGCTTGTGCTGCTCTTAAAGATTTTGATTTTGGTAGAGGGGTTCAATCATGGATGATTAAGTGTGGTATAAAAGAAGATCTTTTCTTAGGCACTGCTATTCTTAGTTTTTATGCTAAATCTGGGTGTATGGATGATGCTGTTAGACAATTCTGGTTCATGCCTGTCCGCAATGTTGTTTCATGGACTACTATGATCTCTGGTTTTGCTCAGAATGGTGATTTTGTATCTGCTGTTGAATTCTTTAGGCAAATGAGAAATGTGGATGTGGACATTAATCAGTACACTATCACAAGTGTTCTTATTGCTTGCGCAAATCCTGATGCAGTTAAGGAGGCAATTCAAATTCATTGTTGGATTTTTAAAACTGGGTTCTACTCAGACTCAGTGGTGAAAGCTTCTTTGATCAATTTTTATGCTAAGATTGGAGCAATTGATGCATCTGAGATAGTTTTTCAAGATAGTGAAGGTATGAAGCACCTCAGTACCTGTGGTACAATGATTTCTGCTTTTGCTCAGCACAAAAGTTCCAAACAGGCCGTTAATTTGTTTCATAGAATGCTCCAGGAGGATGTCAAACCTGATAAGTTCTGTACCACTAGTGTCTTAGGTATTATTGACTCTCTAAATATGGGGAGACAGATCCATACCTATACCATTAAGACTGGGCTAGTTTTTGATGTTTCTGCGGGCAGTTCTCTTTTCACAATGTATTCCAAGTGTGGGAGCTTAGAAGAGTCTTATAATGTCTTTAATCTACTTGAACGCAAAGATACCATTTCATGGGCCTTAATGATTACCGGTTTTGTTCAAAATGGCAGTGCAACTAAAGCCATTTATTGTTTTAGAGAGATGTTATCTGAAGAAATTGTGCCTAATGAGATGACTTTAACTGCCATTCTCACTGCATGTTCTGCTCTTTGTTTGTTAAGGACTGGGAGAGAAGTACATGGATTCAGTCTTCGGAACTATATGGGCGACCAAGCCTCCGTAGGCAGTGCACTGGTTAGTATGTACTCAAAATGTGGCATTCTATGCTCTGCAAGGAGAGTGTTTGACATGATTCCCAGAAAGGACCAGTTCATGGGTTCTGCTATGGTTTCGGGGTATGCACAAGGTGGTCACCCTGAGGAGGCAATTCACCTCTTCTGTGATATGCTTGTCGATGGTTTGGTTATTGATGCCTTCACATTGTCAGGCGTCATTGGATGTCTCGCAGATTTAGGTAGATTAGGCATTGGTAGTCAAATTCATGCCCAGGTCATTAAAATGGGTTTTGAGTCAGAAGTATCTGTTGGAAGTTCACTGCTTGTTATGTACTCAAAAATTGGAAGTATTGAGGATTGCCGTAAAGCATTCCAACAAATTAAGGCACCTGACATTATTAGCTGGACAGCCTTGATTGCAAGCTATGCTCGACATGGAAAAGGGACAGATGCTTTACAAATTTATGAACTCATGAAAGAGTCAGGTACCAACCCTGATTCAGTGACATTTGTTGCGGTTCTATCAGCGTGTAGTCATTGTGGTTTGATTGAAGAAGGATTCTTTCATTTTTCTTCAATGAAGAAGGACTATGGAATTGAGCCCGGTTATAGACATTATTCCTGCATGGTGGATCTTCTTGGTCGTGCAGGAAGATTGAAGGATGCTGAAAGCTTTATCACTTCCATGCCAATAACACCTGATGCACTCATATGGGGAACACTACTGGCTTCTTGCAAAGTACACGGTGACGTGGATCTTGCGAAGCTAGCGGCTGAAAAGGCCATGGAGTTGGAGACACATGAAGCAGGAACTTATGTCTCTATGGCAAACATCTGTGCTGACATGGGCCAGTGGGACAATGTTCTGAAGCTCAGAAGTGAAATGGCAGGAACTGAAGTGATAAAGGAACCTGGATGGAGTTCTTTATAAGGTACAATATTATGGTTTTATGAAATTATCTTTCCATTTACTACATGGATTAAAATGTCTCGGATTTGGGAAGTCAAGAGGTGATCTGGAGTAAATTGACAAACTATGAAAAAGAAGCATATGTGGTTTGTTGGACTATCAGTTTAATGGGATCTCTTGGATCCTCTTCTTCCCATCTACTTGCAACTGCACCACTTCACTCTTTAGCTTGGAATATGCACTTCCGATATTGAGAATAATTACAAGCACAATATCTTCTGGTGGAATTTTGTAGCTGATTTTCTCTTTGCATCCTCATATATCTTTCACTTGCTATGTTAAGTAATTGAGCAGAATCCAATTCGTACTTTTATTACACGTGGATGAAGTTCCAGAAGTGGTCAAGACATTCAATCTCAGGGAGTTGGACAATTGCATGTTTGTATACTTGGACAATTGAGCAGAAAAATTCCAGATTCATTTTTACGGAGAATACCTGCTTCTGTTTTACAAAGTAAGTTCTTGGGGTTCATACAACTTAGTCATTTTTTCTTTTATTAATGCCTTGTGGCTTGCATAAAAGAATATAATAAATATTTTGTTTTCCATTGCTCTGATTTTCACTACTCTGAAGGCTATGAGAGGCTTAAGAGATAAGATATAGCACTCAGAACAGAATCTGTACTGCTTATTCAGAAACATTTATCAAGTTTGATTTTCTATTTTAGGTCTTCTGCCTCCATTTATCTGGAAATTGTCACATGGGATGGTATGTCAATGAAATTGATTGAGGAAACAGAATTTGTTCTGCTTAGTCAGACACAGTTATCGAGTTTGATTTTCCATTTTAGGCCTTCTGCCTCTGTTTACCTAGAAATTGTCATGTGGGATGGTATGCCAATGAAAGTTGCATTCTCTTCAGTTCACGAAGCAACATATGTACAATATCTTTGTAAGACATTTAATTAGGAGGAAGAAATCTATAACTTAAGCTCCATAGTAAGAGCTGCAATTGCTAAGATATTGTTGTTCACGTGGAAAACTAGGAGGTAGTCAGAATATAGGAACTTTTTCAAGCATGAATTTTCTAGATGCATTGTTAAATTATGATCGTACTGTTCTGCGGTTCAAGCCAATTCTTGAATAAACTGAACTTGGCTTTCCTTCACAGATCAGATTCCATCGCTTGTAGGTTTTTGTCTAACATTAAAATTCTTTTAGTGCACATGTACTGTAAATGGGGAATTTGATCTACTGTCAAAACTTTCTGTTCCTCGATTGGATGCATCAATTTAGGTGATTGTTGAACTTCTTCAAGTAGAACTTGGAAAGTAAGATTCAAATACTACAATAGTAAATATTCTTTGAAATGCCATCATCCCTGAATTTTTTTTGGGTAAGCTCCATATTTTTATTGATAAGAACTAAAAACGTACACAACAGTTGGGGACTCCCTGAGGTCATTTACATCAAGAACAAAGCAGAGAGTACAGTAAAAGAACCAACACTGCTATACTAATTATATAGGATAAAAAACAACTAAAGAAACTCCTAACTCTGAGCACAAATTGAGATTGTCCTGCTGCCTGTTCACTGGCCTCCAACCAGCCACAATTTTCTCAAATCTCAGATAATCAGCTGAGTCACACTCATGGGGTCAACATAAGAACGCTTGAATGCTCTCGTATCTGAAATTGTTATTTCCTCAATGAGAAGCTTCCATCTTTAGTTATCTGAGTATATCGTCTTGGAGCTCCATGTGCTTAAAAAGAAAAATAAATGATGTTTTCCTGTCTTTAAGAATGTTTAGCCAAAGAACAAAGCTTCTGATAAACAAGGATTAGCAATATTACAAAATGAAGAACCAAAAGGAACTGCTTTAGTTAGTTAAAAGAATAGGGAGGGAGAAAGTGCCGGCGTTACAAAGATATTTCCTTTTTGTTATTTTCCTTTTTACTCTCTTCATGCTAGACGGTTGTGATATGTTAATAATTCCTCTTTCCATTTGTATTTGCTACTAAAAGTGCATCTGTTTACTGTTGTCCTGAAAATGGGGTGGAATTGAGCTTTCCTTGCGGGACTTATTGTTAAGTTCTGCATTCTATGAATAACAACTTGTTAATCTTTCTCTGATTGCATCAATATACACTTAGTAAGACAGATGCCTTCTTGTGTCAAACTTCATTTTGAAACAAAAAAAAAATGAAATATTATGTGAATTGACCCTGTGAGATTGCTCAAAAGTGTTTTGCTGAATAAATTAGATGAAGGGCTTCAAAGGGCACTTTGTAGATTGTGTTCCTAATATTATGAATACATTCTTTGAAAAGGATCCTTGTGCTTCATGGGACTTTTCCTGTCTTTCAAATAAATGGAATATAACTTTTGCTTGCCTATGAGAAAAGGAAGTTGATCTGTTTGTGGTAATTATTTATACCCTCCTGACATGAAATATTAGATATTTCTTCTCCTGGTTTGGTACTGTAAGTTTGTAACTAGCTAGCATAAGTGTGAACAATGGCCATTGAAAGATGGGAATAGTCACCAGTGATGTTTTTCTAGTTTCAGGCACTTGATCTTGAAGTTTTTTCTTTCAAAGAATAAGTTATTTCTGCAAGCCTCTTGTTAAATAATCAGAGGCTTCTGTAGTACCTTTAACCGTGTGAACTAAGCAGAACTCACTTGGCAATTAACATAGGCTAGGTTTTTAGGACCTTTGAGTAATAATGTTATCAGTTTATTGGGATTCATTAGATGCATTTAATTTTGGACTTGCATCTAGTAGCTGATGGAACTGTGTATGCCAATCTGTAATTCCTTATCGACATATTGTAGTTATCCTTCAATATAACTTGCCAATTTCTGTGCCCCATTTCCTACCCAAACAAGTTGGTTTTCTTTAACTGATCTTTTCACCATTGCAGTTGATATCTAAGTTTAGGCATAATCATATTGGGAGAAGACAGAGACGTTAAATCAAATTATGCTAAATGCACAATATTTGAAGTTAGTTTGCTGTTTGAGGGCATGGTTATGTTAAAACAGTAGACAACTTTGGTCATCCTCTTTGACCACAAAGTATGCATCTCCTTCTAATCTCTTAAACATATGTACCTAAAATACTACATATACGCAGGTTCTTGTTATTGTCTCTTCAGCAAAACTCTTTATACATATTTCCCAATTTTTACCATCTTTGATATTCTTTGGTTTCTTCTTCTTCTTTTAAAATTGGAATGCTACATAGATGGAGGATACCAAGTTCCTCATGTTTTCCGACCTTCCAGTCACAGAAAGCTTTTCGTTCTTCTTTTTTCCTTTCTTTTGAAATCTAAGTGCAACAAATGCATGAGTTTGCTTGAGTTTTCTTACCTTCTAACAGTTGGAAGTTTTTCTGTTTGCAATTATTTCCAAAACAGATGGTTTCAAGGAAGTTTTTCCGAATTTTATTGCATAACTATTTCCTTTCCACTAATTTGAACTACACAACACCTGAACCGGTTTGTTATGTATTTTCTGCTTCTGCATGTCTTGTTTTTGGATTATTTTCTTTCTTTTATTCCTGCCAAGATCCTGATAATTCTTGATTGGCATCTGATCTTAGAAAGAAAAGAAGAAAAGTGTAACTACTAGCCTTAAAATTTATGGGAGTATGTGTAAATTTTAGCAGTGTAAGAGATGCATGGAACTTTTCTTTCAATCCTAAATATTGGCACCTGAAATTTGAGTTTTGCATTTGTCGACAGAAAGGATTTTCAAACACAGTAAATTCTATTTGTTCTGTTTCAACTCCTTCATTCTTTATTTTCCTTGACTGCAGTTTTTGAGTTTCCTAATACATTTCACCAATATACTTGAACATTCCATTGGGCACTTGAGGTTTACCTTTAGTTAATCCTATAGACTGCACAGTATTCAAAATGAGTTATTGTTGTGACTGTATGCTTTTATTTACAATTAATTTGTATTGTATATGAATTGTTTTGTATCTTGGTGAGTGGAGTATGACTCTGATTGATATTCAGTCTTCTGGGCAGTACATGCTACTTAAATTACAAGCTAAAATAATGGATGCTGAATGCAGATTGGGGTTTTGCATTGCTTCCAAGTGATGCTTAGATTTTTCTGGCATGTAAGGTATCATTAACAAACGGATGCGACTTATTTCACTAGTGATACATTTCTGGTATTGCCTATGCACTTATGCAGTTTATAAACTTAGCCTTAATTCATTGAAATGCTAAGATGGACCAACATGGCTATAGCTTCCTGTCTCGCCTGGCAAATATTTACATTCATTCTTGTTTATGTTAACTTCGCTTATGCCACAGTGCTGTGCTTAAAAAATCTCCATTAAATGGTCTGCAACAAGGCAGATTTCTTGCTGCATCATGCTTCCATTTTAATATTCAAAATGTATCATGAGGATCAGGATAAAGGAAGGGAAAAGAAAATAGAAAGAAAAAGAGATTGCTTATTATTTTTAAGGAGCCTAGGCGAGCAAGATTCATAATCAAATCGTTGCATGCTATCTGGAGAATCCTACAGATGTCCTTTATTTCTTTTTTCCCATTCTCAATATTTCTCCCTCTTAAACAGATTCTATTTATTTGGATCTACAGAAAAAATCAGACAAGTTATGCCATTTATCTTCTGAAAATTTGAGAGGACAAAGCTATTAAACGTATCTTGTACTCCTGCAGGGTTGGGTAGTTTACAAGAGCTTTGGTCTCCTACTTAACTTACATTTGAAAGGTGTTTCAACCAATTGTAAGTTTCATTAGCTAGTCTATTAAACTTGCAAACCACATGCATCATGGATGTTGAAGATTCTCTCTCAACTGAATCTGCAAGTTGAAGGCCCCTTTGGGATGATCAATTCAGGTACTTTTACTGGCAATTTTGCATGGTTGAATTGAAATGTTATCTTCTACAATTGCTCTTCATTGTTTAAAGGCAAGCAAAATGAGACTTACTTCTAGTAACCTTTTTACTTTGGTGCTATTAGCACTTTTTTTTTCCTCCAATCTTTTTAGCAAAATTATTAAATCATCTCTTTTCACATTGTGTATCAGCCATTTGAATATGGTAATTACTCTTGCCAAATGGTGTATGAGATCTCTTTTAAACTCAAGAAAACTCAAATGGCTGGATTGGATATGTGCCCACACAAAAGGGCAATGATTTGAGTGCAAATTAGGTGTAGCTGTAGTGTTTTATTTGGCAAGAGCAAAGTAACATGATGCTTTCGGAAATAAAAATAAATAATTGACGATTTCACAAACTATTTTTCAGCGCATCGATAGAAAAGTCAAGGGAAGAAACACGAGGAAGATGTAAATCCTCGCATGGAACTTAAAATATGTCTCTGCTCTTTCTAGGTGCAATGCAATGTCACATCAACTTGATTGACTTTGCTCAAGTTGTGATGAGTCTCTCAAGTAGGCCTGTCAACGGGTCGGGTCTAGACCCGGATTCGGACCGGATCCGTGAAATTATTGCGGGTATGGGTAGGGATTTAATTCCGTTTCCCGGATCTGGATCCGGATCCGTTTTGTCAAACAAAAAAACGGGTCGGATACGGAATATAGTATTCCGACCCGTATTAGACCCGGATCCGGATATAAATGAATTAATAATTTAAAAAATATATATTTATCAATATAATTTGATTAGGGTGATGTATTTTAATAAAATTAATTTGATTTCTTTTCTTATTTGGTTTTTTCTTTGCATTAGTTAGAAATTAGTTTACAAATATATTTTTTTCTCATTTTTATTAGAAATTATAAAATTTGATAAATTTGTTCGGGTAAACCCGAATCCGGATCAGGGACCCGCCGGATCCGGATCCGGAACATAGAATAAAAGACCCGTCGGGTAAACGGGTCGGATCTGGATCCGGCATAGTAATTCAGGTCCGGGTCCGGAATAATGAATTCCGGCCCGGACCCGGCCCGTTGACAGCCCTACTCTCAAGGAAGTTGTGATGGATGGCTTGAGGAAAATCTTGGTGCGGCTAAACATGTGTAGGATCTGTTCACATGTATCTTGTATGTATAGTGTGTGGTAGGAATCTGTTAGAAGATTTCATCATTGCTAAAGAATAAATGTTGAAGCCTAACTTCAAAGAGTTCGCTCAGATTGTATACTATTTCTGAATCTAGTACGAGTGAGGTAGTTACTTTGGGTGAAATTCATGCAATTTTGACAGCTTAATTTATTTAGCTTTGACTTTTGGCTGTAAGGAGCTAGTATGCAGCATATTATATGGAAACCTTTTGTTTCGCTAAAGTAGCTTTTGATTGTAAACATCCCCTGAAGCTTCAAAGTATCTACAGGGAATGGTTCAAAGTCTCGGCCGAGACCAAGACGACTCGGCCGAATCGTCATCGGAACGGACCCCTCCGATACGATATCAGGATGAGATGATTCCTAGATACTTAACTCGTCGAGAACTCAGCCGAGAAGTCTATAGACTCGGCCAAGTCGGCTCGAGTCATTTTAAGTCAACTCACAAATTTATATTTTACAGATTTTTTTTAATTAAATTTTTAATTATTTTTGTTTAGCATATTTTTGAATATTATTTACAATTTTTAGAATATTAAATATTTTAAAATTTGCGTCTCACTGAAACCTTGACCAATATGTCGAGATCGATGTGGAATGGTCTGAACCAGGATCAGGACCGGGACCGCTGACTTCAAACCATGACGGAGAGAGGAGAGAAAAGCTATAATTGCTCTTTCATTCTCATGATGCAAGCTTCCAGCTCCCTGACTAGATCAAGATACTTTACTAAACCTTGGTTATCTTATCAGATTTTTACGTTGTCAATTAAGCTGTGTCCTCCTGTGCAGGTAACAAAGTCTGCTTTTTGGAGTTTGCTAACAAACATAAGAGGAGTGGCTAGATATTCTCTCGTTAGCATTTATGGGGGAACGGAGTTGCAGTTTTGCCTTTTGCCATTGAGAGCTTTCACATGCTTCTTCAAAAGACTCTGATTTTAACGCTGTAAAACTCTCACCTGCATAACGGTTACAAAGTCCAGGATATGAAACAATGAGGCGCTTGTAATGATCTTTCTGGCAATGGAATGGAATCCAATATCACCGATTCTATAGCAATATTTGCTGATCAAACCCCGAGAAACAAGAAAGGATAAAACAAAATCATGTAACAGTGAACCGGTGCCTTGCCTCGTCTATCTACCTTCTAGGACTGAAGTAAATATTTCCTCGAGGTGGGCCGACATGGAACGCTAGCCAGGCAAGTGCGAGTACAAAGCAAGTCTTCCCCTGGGGAGGAGCTTAAATGCCTGTCTTGCCTAGTTAATGGGGTTCTAAGGTCTCATTGAGGGTAAAGCACGAAGCCTCGTGAACAGTGACTGGTTTACGTTGGTCAATAAAAGACAAGGAAAAAAAGTTTACAGGGCCTCTTGGTTTTTTGTCAGCAAAAATGCACTTTCACTATTGTCTGCTGCTTCCCTTACCTAGTTGAAGCCAAGAACAGAGATAAGAATACGTAAATCCATAGTTTTTCACCAATCCTAATTTGTACTGTCAAATTATGACGGTTGTAGTTGGTCGAAAGTTGATTCTGGGGTGTTGATTTAATTGATACTATTAAGCAAAGAAACCTCTAGTTTGCTTTTTTCTCATTGATTTGATATTGCATATTATCTTTTTCGTTCATTTTGATGCCTGTTTTTAGTGTGCCCGATCTGATTTTTAAGGACAAGCATCACACAAAGTCCAAGTTACCCAGTATCACAATATGTATTCCTATTAGCCCAATATATTGATCAACAAAATAAAAAAAAAAATACATGCAAATAACAGTGAAAGCAGGGATTTTAAACTCCCTCCCCCCCCCATATTCTTTTTTTTTTTAATTCAAAAATGATAACAATTGTATAATTTATTTTATCCCAAATTACGGAGAGAGAGAGTCTAACGAGACTTATTCGTAATCAGGTATTTCACTTCAACATGGTATCCAATCGAAATTGGATATGTTTATCATGCTAGTACATTGGTACTTTGGAAGGGTACACACAAGTAGAAAAGTAAACAAACTTGTGCCGGTCAAGTCATGGCGAAGTGTTATCAGCTTCAGCTGCGTAGCCGATAGGGCTTCCCACTCCAGGAGGACAGCGACAGGGGCAACATGAGCCTGGAGGCGCTGGTGCACAGCAAACACAGGCAGGACAAACAATCGGGGGTCGCCTAATAAGCTCTGCATGCAAAACCAAAAATAAAACACATAAATCAATGAAAATACAAAACTGTTTTCTGCATAAATAGTTTAACGTTAAATATTGATCAAGAAGTTTGCTCTAGCAGATCTTGATGAGGAATTCAGTACCTGGGGTTGGTCTTGTTGCCTCACATGGTAAAGTGAGAACAATGGAGAACAGAACAAGTGTGGCCACAGCAGCCCTCATAGAAGAATTCAGTGCCATTGTCTGCAGAAACTGTTTGGTGCATTCGGATGTCAAATTCTGGGCATATTTTATAGGGGTTGGAGAACCATAAAATATTGTAAATATCCAACTTAAAATAGTTTTTTTTTTTTTCCTTTTCTCTTATCTAACTTAAACTAATGCATTCGTTTTCAAACTTGTCATGGTCCTAAGTCTAAACTGCAAAGGCGTAGTTGGAATTAATTACTAGTATTGAATTTCCGTTCATTTCATTCAAAGTCTTGGAGTCTGGATTCAAACTATGATCACTTGCGTACCCAAGAGGAAAACTCGAAACTGGTGTTTGACAATGGAACCATTTTAACTGTAATCGGTGAACTTGACATGACCCACACCAAAAGTTTGTCAAGGGTATCGCATGATGAGATCCTAATTTGAAGATAAGAATGCAATTGTTTATATTTTTTTGGTCAAAAATGAAGTACGAATTAATTTGAATGTTAACAAACTCCTTGAGTGCGATTTCTTGGAAACAAGGATAGTTTTTCTTAACCTTTTGGCTGTCATTATGTTTTTTAATTGATCTACATTTGCATGCATAACGTGATTTTTTATACGTGAACGTGTTTTAACTAGATGCTAGTTTTGATCCCAATATTCATCGGTTATTAATTACAGTCTTTATTCATTTTTTTTGTGAGTTTTTTGTATATTATATTTGAGTTATAAGTTATAATCTGCGTGTAATAGTGAAACCATTATGAGTTTACTATAATCATATGTATAATTTCATCAAAATTCTTTTCTTTTGTGTAACCATGGTTTGGTCTAGCATCTAGGGAGGTTAATTTTGACTGACTTAAAGGAAAATATTTTGGTTGACTTTGACGCACCAAGTCAACTTGTCTACCGTTTTTTCACTTGCACTTCTTGAAGATTGAAGCTCATATATACTACTGTTATTGACTATTAGGATTTTTCTCTTTTTGTTATTTTTGCTTGGACTGAAGCTCCCATAAGGTTGTAATAATCCTGGCCTTGGTTTTAAAATTAGAAGGAAAAAATGAAATTGATGCCAATCGACTGAGAATTAATTTTAGTGAACCCTTTCACCTTAACAGGAAAAAGTTTTGCCCTATTGATTACTTTTATTTTTCCCTTTGTTTATCAGCATGTAATCTAGCTTTAAGAGCTGAGGCATTGATTGGCAGAAATACACCAAACAATTTAAATATTTTTCTTAGCCTTTTCCTCTTATTTTCCTTTTTTTCCTCTTACTTAAACTGGTGAGGTGTTAAAGTAGTTGTTTACAGTCCATCTATTTATTAATGGCTTAATTAAAAGAAAAAAAATTTCTTTTGTAATCTTTTTGAGGAGAGGAATGGATGGGAGGTAGAAATAGAAATTGGAAGGAGACGGTGAGAATGAAATTTCCGTTCAAGAAAAATTGCAAAATACCTTTCGATTCTTGCAACATACTGTCATGCAATACCAATATACATACATACATATATATATATATATATTCTTTGATGAATATTTATAAAAAATATTTATTTATCACCTACGACAATAATACGAAGAAACTATTAACTAATCAAGTTAGATTTTTCTAGAGATATAGTGCATATTTTTCTTGCTTGTATAATTGAGCAAAAGTGGTGGCGTGAAAGAATTAAGAACAAAAAGGGCAAAAAGGGAAAATTAGGAAATCAATTAGGTGAATTTCTCCAAAAAATGAATTTCTCCATCCTTCACATTTCAAAAAATGAATTTTTTCATTTCTCACTAATTATGTGTGTGAATACATTTTTTTAAACACACGTATATGTTTATTTGATTGTGCTTAATAATAATAGCATAAATACATGTATGTAATTAGGCCCAGGTTGTGGGCTATCTTCTCTTTTTGTATGATTATGACTAATATTTACCAATAGAACCTTAATTTGTATATTCTTATTGTATTTTGACTGAAAATAGCTTTATTGGCTAACTTGACAATGAATGCAAGATTATTTACCAGCTAATACCATATGAAATCAAATGATCACGTATAATATATAGTATTCGTATTATTAAGTGAAATCAAATAGACATATACATATATTTATGCTATTCGTATTATTAAGTAAAATCAAACAGACATATACATGTGTTTAAACAAAATGTATACACACACATTTTTTTTTAGGGTTTCCCTCACATACATAATTAGTGAGGGATGGAAATATTTATTTTTTGAAATGTGAGGGATGGAGAAATTCATTTTGTGAAATGTGAGGGATGAAAAAATCATTTTATAAAATGTGAGGGACGAAAAAATTTATTTTATAAAATGTGGAGGACTATAGATCAGATTATGTAAAATATAATTTGACAAATTTACCCTTAAAAAATGATCACGTGCCTTGCACGTGATGAATTCCGGCCAAAAAATGATCAGAAACCTAGTTAGGGACTAAATTTGATCGATGTGAATATATAAGGGACATAAAATTATACTTTTAAAAGTGAGGGATGAAAAAAGTTATTTTATAAAATGTGAGGGATGTTTTGACGATTTTCCCTATAATAAATAGGGCATAGTTGTCCTTCTTTCTATAAGAGGAGTGTTAACTTCTGAAAGTATGATTTGTGGTGGTGATGCGATAGACCATTAAATAATGTCTTGGATGACACCATTACAAAAAAAAAATAAACAAATAAAAGCCGCCCTTACCTGTTGGCTGGCTACTTTAAATGAGAGATTGTATAGTCAATTATGGACATCACCACACTCATAAGTCACATTCGCGTTCAGACGGTGAAAGAAGTATTATTGACCCTTAAATTAAATATTATTGAATGTTTAAAATTTAAACTATTATCTTTAGTGAGAGAGACAAATTGAAGGAATGGTAATCAGAAGGGATCATAGAATTTTTTCCTAAATTTTATATCTAGTTATAGAAATCGTAATATTACATTGATGAATCAATTCAATCACCACACACTTGTAAGTAAGAGATAATTGTACGTTGCAACTGTATTCAACTTTGTTTTCAATAGTCAATAGACAATGACAGGTTTCAAATCAGCTCAAGAAGTTGGTTGAAAGAAGATGAAGTCATTGAGATGATCTCATTTCTGCATCCATTTTGCAAGTCTGTTAGATCAACGGAATTTATACGCAAAAAAATTGAAATTGTACAAATTGGTCTTATTATACCTAGGAATGCTCTTTTTTTTACCCCCCTAATTTTGAAGCCTACAATCATATTACCTTCTTCTTCTTCCTTTTAATGTTCATCATGTTACATTTACTCAGCTTGCACAATGCACTACTACGAAGTGATACAGGTGACCCTTTTAGGCCCAATGTCTACCTAAAAGATACACAAGTTTCTATATTACTATTGTTTAATAGTATTTTAGTCATGTTAAGGTTTTAGTAATTCTATTTGAGTCAAATTATGGTAGTTTTATTATTTAGAAATTAGCATTTTATTAAAAAAAAATTGTATGATTGTAAAACTAGTTATCAAGTCATCTAGTTTATAAATAGGGAGTCATGTTATTGTAGTTAGTTGATAAGAGCAAAACTTGAGAGACTTATTATTATGTGTAATTTTTTTTATATATATTATTGATTTATTCCTCTTGTTCCTTGCATGTTATTATGTGTGTAAATTATCTCCCCATATCTGTTGGTTTTATGAAATTTATCGCCTGTATATTTTTGGTGGAATTTTTTGAGTTGTACCTTAGCATTCAACAATTTGCATCTACAAGCATTTGTGGATATGATTTCTAAGTAACAAATTTATTTGGAGTAAATCCACTTACCAAGAGACTGAAATTCATATCTTAAAGGACATAACAATAGACTAAAAAAATTATTGGGTAACAAGAAGAGTAATTTTGAGTGTGGTATCATCGACAGCTTATTATACATCATTTCAAAAACAAAAAAACTTGCGTTTGGATTAGCTGTTTTTGGGATTGTTTTTCAAAAACAGCACTGTAGCATTTCGTTTTTGAAATACAAGTCCGTTTTGATTAGTTGTTTGTGAGGTTGTTTTTCAAAAACTATATGAAAAACTTAGTGTAGATGTTTTTTGGATTATTTTTAGAGGTATTTTTAAAACATGTTTTTGAGTATTTTTATAATTTATAATTTTTATATTTATATACATTTATGCATTTATAATACATTTATAAATATTTATAAATAAATATATTTATATATTTATATAAAAATATATACATGTATTATATTATATATAATACATAATATAAATATATTTATAAACTTATATTATTATAAATGAATAAATTATAAATGAATATTATATTAATGTATAAATGTATAAATTATGGATTATAATTTTTATACTTTTATATAAATATACATTTATAATATATTTATAAATATTCATAAATAAATATATTTATATAAAAATATATAAATGTATTATATTATATATAATACATAATATAAATATATTCATAAATGTATATTATTATAAATGAATATTATATAAATGTATAAATTATAAAATATAATTTATAATTTATAATTTTATATTTTTATATAAATATACATTTATGCATTTATAATACATTTATAAATATTTATAAATAAATATATTTATATATTTATATAAAAATCTATAAATGCATTATAAATGTATTATATTATATATAATACACAATATAAGTGTATATTATTATAAATGTATAAATTATAAATGAATGTTATATAAATGTATAAATTAATATATTATAAATATATATTAATATTATGTATAAATGTATTAATATGTTAATATAAATGTATTAATGTATTAATATTATGTATAAATGTAAAATTAATATTATGTATATTAATATAAATGTATAAATCTATTATATTATATATAATACATAATATAAATGTATATTATAAATATACATAAATATATATATATATTATGTATAAATGTACATTTATATAAATGTATAATATAATAATATATAATATTTATATACAAATATCATAAATATATAAAAATATTTTTTAAATAAAATAACATATTTAGAATATGTATAAATAAATATATAATATATAAATATTTAATATACATA